AAAAATTCTCCAGGCCAAAAAAAAAATCATCCAAACTTTTTTTTTTTTGGCCTCATTCAGAGATTAGGCAGAAGATGAACTTTCTATACCATTAGATAAAAGAGAAAAAAACCCCAGGAAACTCACCACTCCCATACAGTTCACTTCTCTGTGTTTTGATGCCTCACTACAATCTTTCTGTGAGGATGTGGAAGATAAGGCTATAGTTGTCATACTCCATCTTGGCTGGAACTGGAACTGATAGTAGTACTTAAAAATATCCTTTTTTGAGGGTAAATTAAAATTTGGTAGCCTTATGTTGTTTCACAAAGTTATTTTTGAAATTTATTGGTACAATGAAATTGAAGAAGCCTTGGGTGCTTAGATAGGACACCAAAGCACAAGCAAAAAAGGAAAATTAGATGAAATTGGGCTTCAATGAAATTAAAAATCTTTGCTTCAAATGAAACCATCAAGAAAGTGAAAATACAACCCATGGGATCCTCCCAAAGAATGAGAGAAAATATTTGAAAATTATATATTTGATAAGTGTCTAGTATCCAAGATATATAAAAAAAATTCTTACTACTTAATAGTAAGAAGAAGATAAGCAACCCAATTAAAAAGGAACAAAGGATCTGAAAAGACATGTCTCCAAAGAAGATATACCAATGGCCAATAAGCACATGGAAAGATGCTCAACATCATTAGTTATCAGAGAAATGCAAACTAATAACAAAATGAGGAACCACTTTATACACCCACTAGGATGACTATAATAAAAAGATTGACAAAAACAATTGTTGATGTGAATGTAGAATAATTAGAACCTTTATACACTGCTGGTGGGAATATAAAATGGTGCAGCCACTTTGGAAAATGGTTTGACAGTTCCTCAAAAAGTTAAACATAGAGTTACCGTATGACCCAGCAATTCTACTCCTAGGTACATACTCAAGAGAATTGAAAACATGTGTCCACACAAAAACTAGTGTATGAAAGTTCACAGCACTGCTGTTTAAAATAGCCAAAAAATGGAAACAACCCAAATGTCCATAAACTAATGAACAGATAAACAAAATGTAGTATATCCATACAATAGAATATTATTCAGACATAAAAATGAGTGAAGTACTGATATATGCTACAACATTACTGAACTTTGAAAACATTATGCTAATTGAAGGAAACCAGCCACAAAAGAATACATATTGTATCATTCTGTATATATGAGATGCCCAAAATAGGCAAATATATAGAGACAGAAAGTAGAATACTGGTTGCGTAGGGTTTGGGGTGAGATGGCACTGGGGGGAATAAAGAATGACTACCAAAGGGTAGAGGTTTCTTTTTGTGATGATGAAAATGTTCTAAAACTGATTGCGGTGATAGTTAAACAACTTTGTGTATATTCTAAAAGCCATTGAGTTGTGTGCTTTAAATGGGTGAATTATATGGTATGTGAATTATAGCTCAATAAAGTTATTACCCAAAAAAAATGTCTTGCAACAAATTTTCTTACCTAAGAGATGATATTTGAAGCCTGGAAAGTGGGTAAGATTTCTGAAGAAGAGAATACAGGAAAAGGAGTATTTAGTTTTATAAGAGCTGACTGTTAGGCAGGACTCACAGTAAAGGGCTAGGAGGATAAAAAGAATGCATCAAAGAAGGTAAAATAGCCACCAGATTGGCAAAAACTTAAAAGTTTGATAATTCCAAATGTTGGCAAGGATGTGGAACACTGGGAATTCTCATCCACAACTGATGTCAGTGTAAAGTGGTATACCACTTTGGAATTGGAAGTATGAGTCCTCCTACTTTGTTCTTTTTCAAGATTGTTTTGGCTATTCTAGATCTCTTGTATTTTCATATGAATTTTGGGATCAACTTGTCAATTTCTGCAAAGAAGCCAGCTGGTAATTTGATAGGGATTGCATTGAATCTGTAGATCAGTTTGGGGATTATTGCCATCTTAACAATATTAAGTCTTCCAATCCAGGAACATGGGCTGTGTTTCCATTTATTTAGGTCATCTTTAATTTCTTTCAACAATGTTTGTAGTTGTCAGTTTACAAGTCTTGCCCTTCTTTTGTTAAATTTATTTCTATGTATTTTATTCTTTTGGATGCTATTATACATGGAATTATTGTCTTTACTTTTGGTTGTTCATTGCTAGTATATAGAAATACAGTTGATTTTTACAATATTGATGTTGCAACCTTGCTGAATTCATTTTTTAGCTTTAATAATTTTTATTGGATTCCTTGGGATTTTCTATATACAAGATCACATCATCTGCAAATAGAGACAGTTTTACTTCTTCCTTCCAATCTGGATGCCTTTTGTCTCTTTTTCTTCCCTAATTTCCTGGCAAGAAATGTTCATTACAGTGTTGAACAGAAGTGGTAAGAGTGGACATCCTTGTCTTGTTCCTGATTGTAGGGGGAAAGCTGGTGAAACACTGAAATGGTATGGTGTTAGCTGTGGGTTTTTCATAGATGCTCTTTATCAGATTGAGGAAGTTCCCTTCTATTCCTACTTTTTTGAGTGTTGATACGACTACTTTGGATAACAGTTTGACATTACTTGATGAAGTTGAACTTAACCATATTCAACCACCCAGCAACTTCACTCCTAGGTATATACTTTAGGAAAAAGTTTCTGCATTTGTATACTAGGAAAAGTGTGTAGAAAGCTAATGTCAGGATTGTTCATGATAGAATTTGGGTTGAAAACAACTCAAATGTCCAAAGTAGAACCAGTAAATAAGTTGTGGTATAGTCATATAATGGAACACTATACAGTTGTCATTCTCAAACTTTAGTATGCATAAGTATTAACTAGAGTGCCTGTTAAAACACAATTTTCTAATTTATTATCTTACTAAACAGGGACTAGAATTTATGTTGAGATGGAAACTTTTCATAATGCAAATCAATAATAATGATTTTACACATTTTCCTGAAACAAAACACACACACAATTTCCTGGGCCCCACCCCCAGAGTTTCTGATTCGGTAGGATTGGGGTGGGGCCTGCATTTCTGACAAGTTTCTAGGTGATGCTGATGCAGGGAGTACCTTTTGAGGACCATGCTATACAGTAATGAAAACAAATAAATTGATTTCATACATTAACATAAATGAATCTCAAAATTATGATATTGAATGAAAGAAGCAAGTCACATAAGAATTTATCTACATTATGATTCTGTTTAAATGACATTCAAATGCAGGAAACACTAAAAAATATATTGAGTATCTATAAAGAAGAGCAAGGGAATTACTTTACTGCACAAAATTCAGGGTGGTGTTTACCTCTGTGGGGGAGTGAGGATGGCGCAAATGGGAAGAGTACATAGGAGGCCTCTAATGTGGTGGTAGTGTTCTGTTTCTTAACCTGGGTGGTGAGTACATGGATGTTTGTTTTATCATTATTCTGTAAACTATACATATATGTTTTATATAATCATGTGTGTATGTGTGTGTGTGTGTGTATGATACTTCATACTAAAAAAAATGAAAACGTCATCTTTGGAGCTTGCAGGAGAACTGGACAGTGTAACAGTAGGCAGACCAAGGGTAGAAAGAGCTTCAAGGGAGGCAGCATATTATAGTGTAAAGATTATGGCCTTTAGAGTCAGAGAGATCTGAATTCAAATTTCAACTCTACCACTTACCAATTGTGTGACCATGGGTAAGTTACTCCATCTGGGCCTCAGGTTCCTCTTCTGCAAAACAGGATTCACAGTACTCGCCCTGAAAATTTGTTATACCTGGATCCTGTTTCCCAATAACCATTTGTAAAAAGAAAAAACAAACAAACAAAAATTGAAGGAAAAAGAGTGAGAAAATTACACAGAAGACAAGGATATTGATGGTAGGCAGAAAGCTGATGGATTAAACAGGTACACAGTCATGACTTTTGAAAGTGTAATCCAAGATACAGTAAGGATGGACAATACAGTGCAAATGTTTTTGGAAGTGAATAGATTATGACACAACGAAAGCAAAGTGTTGTCCATTCTCTGGAGTTGTTTGGTATGAAATCAAAGAGAAAAACAGAATGTTAACTTGTGTGAGTATAATAGATTCAAGGAACACAGATCCTGCCAAGGTCTGGAAGAACTGTACATCTCTGAAGGTAAAAGGAAATTGAACCCAAGACATATTCCAACATGCCCGTTAAGAAAGGTGGTAATGCAGTAAATTAAAATTTGCAACCTTAGTTTTATTCTTTGTAATAGAAAGAATTCTATTGTAATAGAATTCTTTGATGTAATCTATATTTGTAAACCCTTATAATACCAGTGCTTACTTTCCCTGACTTTCCATTTTTAAGGCATCTCACACATGAATAGCTATAATTATTTGCAGAGTTTCAGCTAATGAGTACAATGTTCATGTAGAGGCTAATTGGCTTTGTAGAGAGAAAAGTTCTATTCTGTGGGCCTAGGCTGCACTTTTAATCTTAGCCAGCTGTTTAAAGAAGTACCCTGTCAGGCAAAAGAGGAACCAGGGAAGAGATCACAGATGGCTTAGGACCAGTTAACAAGGACTTGGAAAAACCAGACTACATTGTTATTAATAGTAAATATGACAGGCGTATCCTATAGGAAAGGCAATACATTTTCTATTTCATTCAATTATTGTTTGCAAAGGACCTTAGTTGTTATTAAAATCTCAAAAGAAAACAAAGCTGATATTTGGGATTTTGCTTACTGAGACAAAAATGTGGCCTTATATTTGCACAGTTTAAGTATTGACCTTGCCATTAAATGCTTGCCATTTAATAGAAATGCTTACATGTTCTTTTCCTTGTATTATTTCATTTAGATTGAATAAAATATCAGAAAATATCCTCGAGGATGGACCGGATGTTATGATCTGATCTTTTATAATTTTGATTTCCTTTGATCATGAGTCATGTCTGCTGTGGTTGAATGAAACAGGCAATTACTTGAAAATTGCCTTTTACATTCCGCAGTTTTAATATTGTTGTTATTTCTTTGTTTAAAATAGGAATATTTAAATCCAGCTGGGCTTTTCTTAAAGATGAAAATCCTCTTGAAGGGCGAAATACCTAATGAAGAACTCCTTGAAGGTATCGTCTCTGTGTGTGAAGAGCACACAATTTTGAAATATCACTACCAATTTGTTGAATATAAGATCTTTTGTAGTATGCTAACAAAAGGTATAATTTGATGTGACTGACAAGAAAATTGATCACATAGGAAAGGGAGAAGATTGTCAGCCAGGAAGGAAAAGAGAAAGAAGAGAGAATGGTAGCAAATGTCACAGGTAGTAAAAAAGAGCTGAATAAAAGCTATCAGATTTTTTTTAGTCTAGCAGAAAATTGCAGCTGTCTAACAACTTTTCTGAAGTTCTCTACTACCATGAAGAAAGATTATCTATTGATGGAAAAAGGCTTTGTAATGCTCTGCTTTTTATAATTATTTGTGTAAACATTTCTATTTGTTTTTAAAAATTCTTCAGGGACTAGAATGCACACATCACAAAGTAAACATCCTGCTATACAGATGTGGGTCTTTTGGCAATTCACTTACCTTTTCTGTGCTTCAGTTTCTTCATCTTTAAAAGAGATATAATAATAATGTCTGCCTCGTTGTGTTGTTTTGATAATCCTTTGAGAAAATGTATATAAAGCATTTAGCACCATGCCTGGTGCATAGTTAGTGTGAAATGCATGTTACCTATTATTGTAGTTATTATTATTGCTGTTATTACTACCATATAGAGTGAGGCAAAAAAATCTGTCTATGCACGCTGGCCCCTTAACAGTATTTCACTTATGTTTAGTCATAAAAATAATTTACTCTAAATTCTTTTAATGTGTACATGTTTTAATTTTTATACTATATAAAAATATAGTTGCATTATAGAGCTGCATTATTTTTACTATATAAAATTATATGTTAGTATAATAACTGATTATCCAATAAATAATAACAATTTGTAATAAGTAGGACAATAATCAAGTTTGCAAATAGCTCTAAGTTTAGTGCTAGTTTAGTACAGCTGAAACTTTTTGTGACCTCTGGAATCTTAGCCAATTACTAAGAGACCTCAGAAGCTGAAATGTATAGAGGATTTTGGATCTCTAGGTAACTATATCATCTCAGTATACACAGGTTGAAAAATGTTAAGAACCAGGAAGACAACTCTACTTATTTGCACTAGGAGAATAAACAAACCAACTAACCAATTAAAGGAATAGGCTTACTCAAACTAAAACAATATGGGAAGACCAGAGAGATTATCAGAGTCACCTAATTTGAGGTTGATTAATTTTGGACTAGAATTCCCCATTATAGTTTCTATCCAAATGTAGATAAAAAGCAGAGTTTAAAGTAAAATTATTCTTTATTCCTAAATTGTTTTTATGTAATTCCATCTAGATACTCTTGATATTCAGAGTAATGAAGTTGTAGTGTCAGACTACAAATTAGGAGACTTCCCGGAATCCAAGTTTGCTATAGTTTAAAATAATAAAATTATCTTTTACTTCGTTGTATTGAGAGAATGTATGAAACTTGCATTTTTATAGTCTGTTCATTTCTTTGCTAGTGAAGGTGCTTCACTCTTAGAATGGTCCACCTAACTGCTGGCATTAGAATTTCACTGATACTTTTTGTAATAGAAAATGTGAATAGGAAAAATAGGAAATTAAAAAATATACAATTTTTTTTTATTATGAAAGGGTAGCACATACTCATTAAGGAAATTTTTTGGAAAATACTAAAAATATCCATAGTCCCATCATCCACTGTAATATAAGTTCCTTGATAGCAGGGATTTTTGTGTGTTTTGTCCACTGCTGAATTCCCAGCACCAAGAACAGTTCCTGGCTCAGAGAATACACTCATTGGTTGTTTCTTGAATAAATAGTTAATCTAAACACAATCACTTTTAGCAATTTGATGATTTATTTTCAGTATTTTTTCTTAGTTTAATTTAATTATTTTGCAGAATTGTGACCATATAGTACATACAGTGTTTGTTTTCAGATTTTTCACTTACTAATCTTATAAACATTTTTCATATTAGTGCATATTCATTTTTTCCATGTTATTTCATATTCAACAATTTTAATGGTTGTATAGTAGTTCATCACTACCCTATAGTGGACACTCAGAGTATATTTCATTTTTATTATTATTATAATCTACACTGCTTTTAATATCTTTGTTCATAAACATTTCCCCATATTTATTTCAGATGACTTTTCAGAAGTGCAATTTCTGAATTAAAGGGAATAATGATAATAGCAGCTGTCATTTATTGAATGCTTACTAAGTGCTAGGTTCTTTGCTATGTAATTTATATACATTATCTCATGTAACCCTCTCAACAACCCTGAGATTGGTGATATATTCCCCATTTCACAGATGACAAAACTAAGGTGCAGAAAAACTAAGTAACTTGTCTATGGCTGTACAGGTGGCAAGCGGTTTCAAATATAGGTCCATCTGACTTCAGACCCAAAACTTTTAACCACTGTGTTCTTAGCATATAGTATTGCCAAATTGCTTTTCAAAGGGATTGTACCAGGTTATTTTGTCATCCATATAGAGGTGCCTGTTTCACTGCATTCTCTCTTGCATTGGATATTATTACTTTATAAAAAGATTTTGATAAATTGTTAGGCAAGACATGGTATATGGCAAACATTTAGAAAGTAGATTTCGAACAGAGGAAAATTATTGAAAATAACTAAGCTTTTAAGCTTCCTCCGAAATGAAACTGATATGATTATTTCATTTTTTCTCTTTGTTAGCTGTCATGGAAATACTACATCTTGACATGTCCTTAGACGTCTGTCTGAACATTGCTAAACTGCTGATGGATCACGATAGGTACAGAAGAATTGATTTTCTTTTCTCTAAAGACTAACATTTTTCTAAAGTTTCCATTTATATATATATACATATCCATCCACCCATATTCACAGAGCACGTATTTGCCATTGTGCTGATCAAATTAGAAGATGGAACTGCTTGCTTAATGATTTAAACAATCGATAGTCAAGTTAACTTAAAAATTTATATTAAAAATTTAAAAAAAAATGAAAAAGGAACAAGATAGGGCTTTATAAAACAAGAGTTAGACTAGGTTAACTTGCAGGCCAGTGTCATGTGGAACAGGAAGGCATGAGCAAGTGCAGTTCTGCAAGTGATATACCTCTCTGGCTATAGCTTCATGTGATCATTAATGTCAAAAGGGACATTAAAGTACTTATAGACCCCTTAGTGGTTCTCAAACTTCAGTGTGCATCAGAATTACTGGGGAATAAGAACTTGAAAAGATACTCAACATCATTAGCCATCAAGAAAATGCAAATCAAAATCACAATGAGAAAACACTTCACACCCACTAGAATGGCTATAATCAAAAAGATAATAACAAATATTGGCAAAGATGTAGAGAAATTGTAACTCTTATACACTGCTGGTGGGGATGTAAAATGGTTCAGCCACTTTGGAAATAGTCTGTTACTTCCTCGATAAGTTAAGTAAAGAGTTACCATATGACCCAGCAGTTCCACTCCTGAGTTAAACAGGAAATATATGTCCATACAAACACTTGTATACGAATGTTCATAGCAGCATTATCCTTAATACTCAAATGTGGAAACAACCAAAATGTCTATTGACTGATGAACAGATAAACAAAATGTGGTGTACCCATACCATGGAATATTATTTGACAATAAAAAGAAGCAGAGTACTGATACATGTTATAACATGGATGAACCTTAAAAATACTGTGCTAAGTCAAAGAAGCCAGTCACAAAGACCACATATTGTATCATTCCATTTATACGATATTTCCAGAATAGATACATTTATAGAGACAGAAAGTAGATTAATGGTTTCCTAGGGCTGTGAGAGTTGGGGGAAAATGGGGAGTGACTGCTAATGGATATGGGGTTTCAATTTGGTATGATGAAAATGTTCTAAAATTGATTGGGTGATGGTAGCACAACTCTGTGAATATACTAAAAACCACTGAATTGTATACTTTAAATGGATGAATTGTATGGTATGTGAATTACATCTAAATAAAACTCTTATAAAAAATAATCACGGGACTGGCCCCATGGCTGAGTGGTTCAAGTTCCACGTGCTCCACTTCGGTGGCCCGGATTTGTGGGTTCAGATCCCAGGCGCGGACCTATTCCACTCAACAGCCTTGCTGTGGAGGCATCCCATGTGCAAAATGGAGGAAGATTGGCACAGATGTTAGCACAGGGCGAATCTTCCTCGCCCCCCTAAAAAATAATAATAATAATCACTAGGGAACTTGATAAAAATATAGAGGTCAGGCCCTACCTTACTCCAACAAGCCCAGACCTCTGTATTCTTTATTAGTTCTCCAGGTTGTTCTGAGAACCACTATTTTATTTCTTTCTTTTTTTCTTTCTTTAATTTTTTTGTTTATTGTAGTAACATTGGTTTATAACATTGTATAAATTTCAGGTGTACATCATTATACTTCTATTTCTGCATAGATTACATCATGTTCACCACCCAAATACTAATT